AGATTTATATATACAATTATAATTGTAATGGTTCACTATTATTTAATAAATAAATGATTTTAGCCTAATTGAAGGGTTTAAAATATATATATATAGTAGCACCTGTCTATTTGCATAAAGTTGGAACCATAGTGAAATTTTTATAAAAATATGCATTTAGACAGGTTATACATATATACATCAGATTTTTATAAGAGTTCTATAGGTTGGAACCAAGCAAGAAATATGCATTTGTATGTTTTTTATATAGAATATGCAAATAAACAATATGCAAATAGACAGGTGCCACTGTATATATATGTTGTTATCTATTTTAATATTTTTGAAAATATAATAATTTCTTGATCAAATAAAACATACAGTAATTGGATTTATGAATGATATTAATTTTTAAGCAATTTCTTATTATTATGCATAATTTTAATTACAATTTTTTTTTTTAATATCACATTATACAATTATTTTATTATAAACATTTCTCAAAAATGATTAAAACAAACAACATATACTATTTAATAGTAAACACAAATAATAAATCAGTTATACAGTATTTTAATTTTTTTTAAATTGTTAAAATGCAATTATAATCAATTATATTTGTATCCCAAAGATTGGGATATTAACAACAACCTTACTTATGATTTATTGATTCTTCTATGATCTCTTTCAACATCTGAACAGATGTGTATAAGGAAATAAAGAAAATTTAAGGTAGAGAACGCATAAAAACATTTTTACAGATAATATTGGTTGTAAATTCGATATAGTAAAAAATGATAAAAGAGAGTCGATTTGAAAAAAAAAGGATTGAGTAAATTGTATATGCTGAAGAATATCTCTTCAAATTGTGGTCGCACAGTCAGTGTTCAATTTAATACATCTTGAACAGTCGTCATTTATCGAGTCTCGTTCGCATCTTTTTCTCGATTTTACGCACAGATCACATGCTTTTCGCCTACTTGCTTTCAAGTTGGAATAGTCACCTTCTTGGCCCCTAGATTCATGACCTGGACACCTTATCTCATAAGTTTTACCATGGAATAATGCGTCATAAGTGTGTGGAATTATCACCTCATTTTCATACAAGACAAAATCTGTTAGGTTAAAGGATGCCGCAATCGTTTTCCGAATGACATCGAAGGTGGACGATTCATGGAATTTTATCTGATGTTTAATGGTTTGGGAATCGGAGAAATGGTATATGATGGTAATAGTTTTATGATCGGGGAGAACTTCAGACATTTTAAAAGATCCTTCGTAATGAAAAATCGGTAGGAATGAGTTAGTGGGAACAACGAGCTTTTAAACTTATATATGGCGTACGTGATATTCTGAAATCAGAACATTCAAACGTTGGTGAACCCTCTCTTAACGCCAACAAAAAAAAACATTTTATATTAGCTATACACATGACCAATTAATGATAGGTCGTTGTCGTTTTCACCAAGATAAAGCGGATATTGCATTCATGTTTCGACAAAACAAAATATGCATTTCTATTTTTAAACCTACGAATGACGATATATTTCCACATACAGAGTAATCCATAAAAGAAAGTTCACATGTATGCACCATAAAGAGGTGCGGAACAATTCATTGTGCCAACATCCGAGCTATAGTCAAAGCTTTATATGTACGTATTGAAAGAGTGCTGTGCATGATTCATATAATCTCGCTCACATATTTACGCAATTTCTGCGTAGCTGAATGGATTCCAATTTTTACCTCCGAAAGTAATTTTTACCAAAAAAATTTATTACAACGCACAATGCGAAATGAATCGCTTTGTAAATTTTTACTACACTCTCCAGATCGAGTTACCCTGACCTTCGCAGCAAAAACATGTACTGTAAATCGACATCACAAATTACTTTGTTTACTCATAACAGGCACTCGTTACAATGAAATAGTTCTATGGATAAATGTTCTATTTCTTTTTTTTCTTGTAAAAGAAACAAAGCTCTGCCATTTCTACGCCCATGCGTATAAGTTTGATCAATAAATGGTTAATGTTGCTTTTATTTCAGGTAAAATTTTGCATTTTAAATTGAAAATGGAAAAAATCGTCAACGGTATTTTCAAGTATATAATATATTTTTTTAAAAAAATTATATATATATAGCATATAATTAAAAAGCTGCGTTATTTTAAATTAATAAATAATTAGTTTAATTAAGATAAAATTCAAAAAATATGCAACGTATTACAAAATTTATTCAAATTATATAAAACTTTATAAATGTATTTTTTAAAATACAAGAATAATAAAAAAATAAAAGTAATTATAGTATTTAAATAATATATTTGATTATTTTTTAAATCTAAGATATATATTTTTTTGTTAATAATATATATATATTTAAAAAAAGAATATACATAAAATCTTTAACTATTTATTTTTTAGATATGTAATAAAACTTAATTTCAAACATATATAAATAGTTAAATTATTACATAAGAGATGTTTCATTATATGTATGCTTATATAAAACAAATAAAAAAATTACTTATGCACGCCAAAAAAAAGAAATTAAACATTGTCACGAGATTCATCCAAGTCACGAGGTTTCACTAGATTGTGTAATGGTCGGAGGATAAAATAATTTTTTTCCCTTTTTTTTTTGATGCCCAAAAAATGCATATACGTGGTTCGAACCTAATACTTGTCGCCGACCTTAGGACCATACAACAGCCATTCAGGGCATATTTTCAGCAACTTTTCCAACTGTTTTCACAAAGTCGTAACAAATCATTTGCTACCAATTGTCATTATCAAACGACGACTTCTAATTTAAATGCGAGAGAATATCAGCATTACCAAAATTTTAAACATCAAAAAAGCCTTTTTGATGGTTCCCTTCCTAACAAGAATGTTCTCATTCAAGCATTACGTAAACGTTCGGAAATTGACGGTGAAAATGGTAGCGATGGTAGAAAGATGCCAGAGAAACGCAAGGGAAAGAAATCGACTGATGCTTCGAAAGTAAGGTTCGTTTTTAATACGTTTACGAGAAACCTGGTTCTCTTAATAATTGCTTGTTTAAAGAAGTTATCTCTCACACACTCTAAGCTAAGCTGTTATTCCATCTTCATTTCCATTAATATTAGGCATTCATTGAAGTCAACGAAGCATTATCGCCTTCTTATATTTCCAAGCTAACTTCATTTCAAGCGCTGAGTTTATACAAAAACCTATACACGCACTATCGTCTAAAACCTTTTTACTTGGACTTGATCTCTTATCTGTTGCGTCAATTTGCAAATATCGACAGGTTGGACTTAATGGAAGTTGTCTTTGCACAGTTTGTGCGTGATGTCGATGCTAGCGAGAGAAAATATTTGATTGGAGGGTATGTAACAAAGGTTTGGAACATGATATCATGCATCTACGCTGAAAAAGGATACTTTGAAGAAGTTAGGATATGTAAGTAATTTTTCTTGCTCCATGATCTTTCTATTTAGAATAAACAATGCTTCATTAAAACCTTTATTTTTATTATTCAATTAGTTTTCTAATTCACTACAAATCTACGTATGCCTTTATTATACACAGTATTTGAAAATATGCCAAGATATATGATAATACCCAACGATAAGACATACAAGACATTAATAAAGTCGGCATCCAAGGGAAAGAATATTTACCTTTGTTTTTCCTATCTCCAAAAACTAATCGTCAGAGGCCACAAACTCGATTGTGACACATTAAACACACTTCTTCACACGTGCCTGATAGCGAATTCCGATTCCTACAAACAAGAGAGCATCGATATTATCATCAATCTAATGTCATTATGGAGAATTGGTCCAAATGGTGAAACACTCCGGATTTTGCTACAGTATTGCAAAAATTTTGATAGTCTCGAGGTACTGTGGGCGAAAATCATAGATCTTAGATTCCATGATAATCCAACTTTGCAAGTGGAGATCATTAAAATGTGTTCCAGATTAGCATTTGGTGATCATGACAATCAAGATAATCAGATTGCTGAAAATGACAGGCTTTCACTAGTGAAGGAACTTGCGGAAAAGAGGGAAGCTGGCATGCCGAAATGTTTGGATTATTTATTACGAATACTTCGTAAATCGCAAGGTGAGATAGAGGTTGGGGCATACAACAATCTGTTGAGTACTTGTGTGCGAGGAGGTGATATTAATCGAGGAATGAAAATATTGGAGATGATGTGGTCCAAAAATTTAGAACCATCTATACGTGGATATCAACAAATGTTGGATACAATAGGGAGACCTATCACTATCAGTCCCACAATTACGATAGAGACGAATATTCGCAATGATCATTGTCATTTGAGTACATTACAAGATACTCCAATGCGAGATTTGTCAAATTGGAATTTATCAAAACAATCGGCATTCATTAAAACACAACGAGAGCATCTGTGGAAATTGTTGGAAGGGATGTTCACGCGACCTAAAACTAGCATAATGCCAAAACGATTAATTAGTGCAATCTTATTTGCGCTTGGTAGACTCGGGGATTCTCGTGGGCTACTGGAGTTTTATGAAGCACGTATAAAGTTAGAACAACTTCAACGCAATGGTAACGATATCAACAGTAATAATACTGATGGTAGTGGTCTCAGTGGTATTCAAAACAATAAAGGCAATAACATTTACCACTCGAGACAGTTGAATCCTATAGAAAATTCAACAGTAGATCTATCATCTATAGAAAATCGATTTGCCATTCGGTCCAGTCACATCAATATGGATATCACATTGTTCAATTTATTTATGAGAACGATTTCACTGCCTTCTTCACCTCTATTACCATTATTGCATTCTTCGCCAAAAAAAACACCATTTTCCGATCTTTCGCCCTTAGAACTATTCAATAAACTACCAATTCATATTGAACCGAACCAAGAGACAATTGAGCACTTGTTTTCGAACATAAGGTCGTTAGAAAGCTTTAAAAAATTTGGGCTCCAGTTTCTTAGCGCGATACTTACAAGATCGACGAAAGGTGCCGTAAATTTTACGAGGGAAGGGTTAGAAAAAGTGATAATGAGGGCAACTGGAAGAACTTATGATGAAGATGGAAATAATGGGTGCAGTGTAGGGTCAAATAATTATGAACCAATTGATAATGATGAGAATTTTCGAAATGCGGTGGTTAGATGCATTGTACACGAAATTGCTAATGTTTGTGAAGGAAAGGATGTGACAGAATGCCTAAAAGTATTAGAACAATGGGAAAAAAAAGAAGGCAGATGAAAACCAACACCATAACAAATTATACATTAAAGTCGGAAATAAGTGTTTATTTTTTGTAATAAAAAGAAAACTCAATTTTCCTCAATATTATTAATATGATAACGAAAGCGAATGATGCCATTGAATTATAGAATAGAACGTTTCAATAAAAACATTCGATATTTGCCAAACTTCCACTCACATAACTTTGCTTATTATCTACAATCTTTCTAATAATGAGTTTCAAGGTGAGCTCGATATATTATCACCCCCCCATTGTTTAAATATGCAAAATAGTTTTCGTTGTTCTATGTTTCTACTGGGTGGCTGCTTCGGATTTTTGCAGGCTTAATGAATATTGTCCCTGAATTTCAACAACCTGGAATCAGACGAGAGAATGTATACAGAATTTTGAATGAGGTGCTTGGTTGTAATTGATACTCGGAAAACCTGGAACTGATGAATTCTATAGAGTACTTTCGAAAAAATAAAAGAAAATTCTTACTTCAAGTTTCTTTTTCTCTAATTTTTCAGTTAAATCTTTGATTTGAGATTCCACGCGTTTTCTGAAAAAACAAACAGAGATTGAATTGGATGTTGTGAATGGTGGCATAATCTTTTCTTCGTTTGTATTCGACGATCCTCGAAAATATCACGTCAAATCACGCGTTGTCAACTTATCACCACAGAAATAAAGAGAAAGAAGGAAGGAAGGAAACAAACATTTCAGATCTAATATATTCCAGTCGTTTTGACACGTTTAAGGTAGCCTCTGATTTTTCTTGTTTGACCAGTACAGGACCAATCAATTTATAAATATTTGAGTCATCATTCAATAATTTGAATTCCTACACGATTAAGTGAAAAATTCAATAATGATAAAAGTAATACTTTCCATCAAGTGAACTATTCGAAGACGTGAACATACCTTTTCAACGATTTCGTTTTCCTGTAATTGGGTATCAAGT